GTGTGTGTGTGTGTGTGTGTGTGTGTGTTTCTCTCTCCCTCCCCCCTCTTCTCTCTCTCTCTCTCTCTCTCTCTCTCTCTCTCTCTCTCTCTCTCTCTCTTTTTAAACCAGTTTTTCCCCCCCGGATAGGAAGATGAGTGAAGTATTTATCCAGAAAGCACCATACAGCGTTGGTTCGGGAATGTAACAGACCCTGTACATTCGAGGCCTGGAAAGAAATCTTTTCTAGCTTATTTTCACCTGACATCTGTAAAAGAAAAAGAAAGAAAGAAAGAAAAAGACGTCTGTAATTAAAGAATCATTGAATCCAATCATTACTGTATTTTCGGAGTATAAGACGCACTGGAGTATAAGATGCACCAAGGTTTTGAAAAGGCAAATAAATAAAAATTTGCACTCTGCAAACCTCCCAAAAATGGCCTGTTTTTTGCGAAAACAGGCCCGTTTTTCTCCCCCCAAAAGGCATGAATAGCCCTTAGGGGATTTGCAGAGTCTTCGGGGGGGGGGGGGAAATGAACAAAAAAATGGCCTGTTTTTCACAAAAACGGGCCCATTTTTCATAAAAAAGAGGCATGGATAGTCTTTAGGAAATTTATAGACTGCTCCTGGGGGCTGGGAATTGAGCAAAAAATGGGCTGTTGTTTGCTCATTTCTTCCCTCCCCAGCCCCCAGGACCTCTCTCAAAGCTTCCTACAAACTATGCATATCCATTTTGGTGAAGGGGTGGGGTTTCAGGTGGGAAAAATGCTGTATTCAGTGTATAAGACACACCCAGATTTTCAGCCTCTTTTTTGAGGGGAAAAGATGCGTCTTATAATCCAAAAATATGGTATGTGCTGGAGATCATAAATCAGGCTAAAGACCACCAACCTCCAATATAAATACCTTCTATATCCAAGCAGGTCTCAAATCTCTAGAAAAAAAGAGATTTCTATCCATCAGTTCTGGGTCTGTCACCCCCTTTTCCATGTTCCAAATATAAATATACTAGCTGGATACCCTGGCTTCACTACGAAGCCGTTGGAACAGAGTTCCTTTCAGGTGGGGAGGGGGAGTAGAACGTCTAACTCCTTAGCATTGACGCATGTTAATATATTACTGTATAAGAAATACTGATGATCTGTTGGTCATTTCGAAAAACCCTTTCTTAGTGAGCACCTAGAAGGCAAGAGGAACCTGCGTGCCGAATTTCAGGTTGGTAGGCTTTACAGTTCTGATGATTTTGTGATGAGTGAGTGGTATTTGGCTTTTATATAGATAGATTCCATGCTCATAAAGCTGGTAGCTTCATTCACCTGAACTGCAAATTAAAATCTGAAGACCATCATAAGGTTGGAGGTCCAGATGATGAGGCAGAGAAGGAGGGAAGTGGGATGGATTTGAAATTTTGAAGACTTCCCATCATGAAGGCTAAAATGTTCCCAGATCAGAACGTTACCTAGCACCCCACCGAGTCTTCTATGAGACAGTCAACAACTCCGATTTAAAATTACACCCATATTTTAGGGAAATGGGCCCTCATTGAGTAACACTCACAAGCGTCTCTATTTTTCGAATTAGGGATGGAGCCCTAATGGAAGATTACACCTTCCCAAGATTGTGGCTTTATTCTGTGGCATATCAGTTTCCTACCTAGCTTTCTTTTAAAAGTTAGGTTACAAGAATTACTTAAAAACCTGCAGCCAGCCACAGGCCAGCAATTGAGCCACTGCAAAAAATTTCCAGCTGTTGTGGCCCGCCAGTGGCCAGAAGAGCTAGCAGCAGATTCGGACAAGGAGGAGGTTGGGGAGGAACATGGGCCAGTCCTGGAGTCTGGAAAAGGCTCGGATGAGGACTCTGTGTCGGAGACAGAGAGGGAGTTGGGAGTAAGGCCACAGGTGGACGATGAATGGCCCCTCCCAGAGGAAATAAAAGAGGAGCGAAAGGGGAGTGGAGTTTGCAGGAGACAATTAGTTCCCTTAATTGGTTCGTGACTCTCCGAGACTCCTTGCCACGTTTTGCAGAGATCGGCCTGGCAGCTCTCCAAACCAGATAAGGTTTGTGACTGTAAATCCTCCTTTGAAAGACTTTGCTGGATGTGAATGAGCAGCATTCACAGCCAATTAATCAAAGGGGTTTTTTGTCGGGACAAGGAATTTGCTTCATGCTCTTGGGAAGCCTCGGTCAGAACACCAGCCCAAGAAAAATTGACACCCATCCGTAGAATTCCCAAGAACAACCTGATCTTTTGAAATCAACAATAATTACGTTATCAGCATTGATTAGCCTCCATCATTTTTAAAGCACCAAAGGATAGCAACCTCCTGCAAACGGAGCATTTGCAGCTTTGAAGAGAAAAGATTGAGCTCAGCCCATCACATTTGATTGCTGGATCTCTCTCGGCAACAGCCAACAGCCCCAAATCTTAAATAATGATCAAATATGGGAAGAATAATCGCCCCAATTTTTTTCCCCTATTGGTTGTGATCTGAAAGGCAGTTTCCATACATGGCTCGTACCTGATCATGGGCTCCATTTTAAGGAGGGTTTTAACCATTTCCGACGTTTTTTACCTTTTTTCCTACGCCTGCCTGTTGACATAATGGCAGCATTGGTATATTTAACAAATAAGCCACAATGGGCATGCATTTATGGAAGCAAAGGAGCAAAAGAAATTGTTCTCAGAGAAGAACCGTTGCAACAAATTGAAGGTTTTTACCGAATAACACACCGACCAAAACCATGGAGTTAAAAGGGGCTAATGAAGTCCTTAGCTGTTTGCTTAGCATGGAAAATCAAATTAATGTATCCTAGAAAGGACAGGATATTACCTCTCTACGGAGGTAACTGTTGGTCTGTTCTTGCTATTAGGATTTTCCTAACCTCCAGATGGAATTTGGAGGATTCTTAGTGCCAGCATTCCATGTTCTCCTTCAAGGACCCCATCAAGAAGATCATGGTCTTCTGTGACAGGGGTCTCCAACCTTCGCAACTTTAAACCTGGAGGACTTCAACTCCCAGAATTCCCCAGCCAGCTGGCTGGAGGATTCTGGGAGTTGAAGTCCTCTAGGCTTAAATTTGCCAAGGATGCAGACTCCTGTTCTATGGGACACCACTGAGAGGACGTCAAATCCAAACCATCTCGTGCCATTTTCTTCGTCTTTCCTTGAAAAAGTTTAATTTCCCCATCCCTATCAACTTTTTCTGTGCCAATTCAATTTTGCCTAAATCCTTCTCAAGGGATCCACAATTGACCATAAGACTTACAAGCTTTAGGGAAAACATATCCACCAAGTTAAGATTCATGGTGTGTAATCCTAAGCACGGGTGGGATGAAATAAACCCCTGTGGCTATCTGCAGTTAATATCAGATCATCCCAGGGGTTAAGTTTAATCCCCCTGACATGCAAATAAATGAATTTAAAGTTATTTTATCTGATATATCTCCGTTGGGTTTGACTGTGGAAACCAAAGATCGGGAGTCAATTTTAATGCTTCATCAGAAACTTTGCAATGAAAGTTATAAGGCCCATGAGATATAATAATACTAGTAATTGTAACAGAACAATAAAAAGAAAGGGCAGGAGAAAGAGAAGGCAACCCACCCTCCACTGTTTTTTATATCAATCAATATATAAAAAAAAATCAAATACCAGCTCCTCCCCGTCCCTCAAATCTATGGGTAACCATTATGAGAACACCAAACCCAAATTTCACATTCTTGTGCCCTAATTCCTTCATCTTTCCTTGAAAAGGATTTAATTTTCCCATCTCTATCCACCTTTTTGGTGTCCATTTTAGTTTATCTAAATCCTTCTCAAAAGGTCCAGAATTGAGCACAAGACTTATTAGCCTATTGTGGCCCACCAGCAGAGCTGGTGGCAGATTCAGACACTGGGGAGGTTGGGGAGAAACATGGGCCAGTCCTGGAATCTGGGGAAGGCTCTGATGAGGGCTCTGCATTGGAGGCAGAGATAGGGCCAAGGCCATCCAACATTTATCAGCTGCCTTCGGAGTTGGAAATCAGTGGAGCAGAACAGCTGGAGCTTGTTCCCAGTGTGCGCATGCGCAGAGCTGCCAGGAGAAGGGAGCAGCTAAGGAACAAGAATCGACTCGGGAGTAAAGCCACAGGTAGATGGTGAATGCCCCCTCCCATAGGAAATAAAGAGGAGAGAAAGGGGAGTGGAGTTTGCAGGAGACAATTAGTTCAATTCATTAGGGTGAAGATCTGTTCCCGATCTCTTGTCAAGGAATTGCTCCTACAGTGTGGCGTTCGGAAGATATCAGCCTGGCAGCTCTCCAAGCCTGATAAAGGTGTGTAGTTGTGAAATCTCATGAAAGATTGTTTGCTTGGACTTTGCTGGAGGAAAAATTTAAGCAATATGAACTATCTTCCATTGTTTTGTGGTTATCACAAGCATGCTTCTCATTTCCAGACGTTTAATGCTCGAGAGACTTGGGGAATGTCAGAAAACACATCCAACACCATCCACTTCCGTCTCTTAATCTACTCCAACATACCTGTTTCTTCTTCTCGAAAATCTGGATTGGAATTTGAAATTGTACAAGTGCATTCCATATGCTCTTCTAACTTCACCAGAACTTCCTTTAATTTGGGTTTTCTTCTAACATATTCCACTTTGGCCACCTACGGGTTGACAAAAACAACAACAATAAGAAGATTCAGGGACTTGTTAGCCAAACAGCAGCCAAGAACAAGATTTGGAGCACTCATTTGGAGAAGAACTTTGTGTTTTAGTGTGTGTGTTGTTCATGATTTATAGGGTGTGTCCCTAAACTCACTGGGAAGCACACAAAATACCGTATTTTTCAGGGTGCAAGATGCACCGGAGTATAAGACGCACCAAGGTTTTGAAGAGGCAAATTAAAAAAAGGTTTTGCACTCTGCAGACCTCCCAAAAATGGCCCATTTTTCACAAAAATGGGCCCATATTTTTCAAAAAAGGGCATGAATAGCCTCTAGGAGGCTTGTAGAGTGCTCCTGGATGGGGGCAAAAATGAGCAAAAAACGCCCTGTTTTTTGCGAAAATGGGTCCATTTTTGTCCCCCCAAAAAGGGCATGAATAGCCTTTAGGAGCCTTGCAGAGTGATCCTGGGAACTGGGGGGGGGGGCTGAAATGAGCAAAAAACTATGGTGAAGGGGGCGGCATTTCAGGAGGGAAAAAATGCTGTATTCAGTGTATAAGACGCACCCAGATTTTCAGCCTCTTTTGAGGGGGAAAGCTGCGTCTTATACTCTGAAAGATACAGTAATTAACTCTCCTTATTTGGTGCCAAACTGTTGAACTCCAAAACACTTTTCCTTTCCAAATCAGTGATAAAATAATCTGCCAGTGGGGAAACTGCTCCCAAAAAGAGAGTACGGGTGAGGTTTAAGATTCAAAGCAGGGGAAAAAGAACCCTGGCTTCACACAGCTGTTGTGTCACCATCAATAACAAAAAATGCTTCTTAGGTTTTGAGTGGAATTTTTCTAACTTGGAGTTGGGATCTTGTAAAGCCTCTGTTTTAACCCCCCCTCCAAACTCTCCCTCACCCTTCTGTTACAAAGAGCTTGTTGGCATAATGTCCTGGAAAAGGAAGGGATCATTCATCAGCCGGATATGGTCCAAGATAACTTGGCGGGCATTTATGAAGTGCGGTGGCTTTGGGCCAATGGCTGCTCAGGTTTGACTTTATAGCTTAGCACAACTTTCGTGGTTCAAGTGAAGTTGTTTTTTAAAGTGTTCTTTGCAGCTGGAGCCTTTTGGCAGGCAAGAAACACTTGAATGTGCTTGAAAAAAGGTTTTCCTTAAAACAAAAATGGCAAAGGGACCAACATTTACTATCTTGAAATGTGGACGTGTGACAGATGGTTTACCAGCATTGGGAGGATGTATTTTGAAAAAAAAATCAAAGAATTCATAACACATTAACTATTGCACAAGTCACTTGCAAATCTCTCTTTTTTTTTCTTTTTGGAGGAAAACTGTAAGATTCGTTTTCTCCTTAAGACGTTTCCTCCTTAGATCCGGTTTCCTAGGCACCCGGCATCCTTGAATTGATCTAAACTCACGTTTGATGTTGCAAAATACACTTTTAAGACACTTTCAGCCGACTGCTCTAGATCTTAAGGTCCAGGGTAGATAGAAAAAGATAGGTTTTTTTTTTAATGGGCTTTTAAAAAAAATTAAATTGGTTTTTTTCTAAATTTAAATCAGATATTTTTTAATTTAAATGGGATTTTTAAAAATCCAATTTATTTTAATAAAATGCTTTTGGAATAAAAAAAACCTATCGAAAGATAGTTTTCTATTTAAGATACATTAAATAATTGAGTTTATTCTGCATGAAATGGAGCTTAGTTGTGTAGCATGAGGCTGTATATTCTAATTCTAATTCTAATAATATTGCTCAATATTTACGTAAACCCTACAATGAATCCAAAAGCTGCAAGCTGAGATAACACGCACTGCATTGATGCATTCACACAATTTCACAGCAGGGATGACAGCTGCTCTTTAAAAATTATGATTTAAATCGAGTTGATTTAAATCAAGCCTTTTTACTAGTGATTTAAATCGTGAGTGTCTTACAATAAGAGCTAGTATTCCAGGCTATTTTGAAGAGCTTACATCAATCTTGCAAATCTGAAAGAAAGCAAATATGAAGTCTCTTCGCCACCCAAGAAACTAGAGAGGGTTCCTTCTGTCATGTCCCCGATTCATTCTGTGGGCTCAGCTGCCTCTTATCTAATTATTGTCCTGTCTGTCGTTCTTCCTCCTCTCAAGGCCATTCCCACACACCATTCTATTCCTTTCCATGTTTATAAATCCTGATAGAATTACACAATACCGAAGGCCAGGATGACTCCCACTCTGTTGAGGCAATATTTTTTTTCCTCATAATTGGCCTGGCAGACAGAAGCTTGAGATGATTAACAAAACGGTTCCTCAAAAGACAGATTGGAGAAGTAATTAAAAGTCACCAACCCCAGCCGTCTGAAAGAGAAGCAGCTTCCCTAGAACTCAAACTGGAAGTTCATCCAGATGTGTTGCAACCGTTGAGAAACCAACTTCTCTAAGGGCATCAGGGTTTGCCCTTTTGAACCCCAGGAGACACAAAGCCCCGTGGTGGTGCAGTGGTTAGAATGCAGGACTGCAGGCGAATTCTGCCAACTGCCAGCAGTTCGATCCTGACCGGGTGAAGGTTGACTCAGCGTCCTTTTGAAGTCGGTGAAATGAGGACCTAGATTGTTGGGGGCAACATGCTGATTCTGTAAACCACTCAGAGAGGGTTGTAAAGGACTGCGAAGCAGTATATAAGTCTTAAGGGCTGTTGCTATTTCCAAATTGGTAATTTTTGGGTAGACGGATTTGGTTAGAATGACTGACCTGTCAGTCAAGCTGTGACGCCCGTTCACCCACTTTCTCTGTCAAGAGCCTGACGGCATGAAAATAGAGAAGGAAAGGAATCCAGTGTCGCTCTGAGTCATCCAACATCAAAGGATGACTAAGTTGTCTCGTTTACAACAAAACACAAATGAAGAGCGTGGCCAAAGATCCAGACAGAAGCCCCAGAGATCATCAAATGCTTTCACGCCAGACAAGATAGTCTAATGCAAAATGTAACACGTTCAGTCTATCATCGCATGTTCCGTGATGCAGGCAATCCACGCGAAAGGTTGCAACCCTCGAAATAAATCACGATCCAATGAGGTTGTGGGGCCCGAGGTGGCGCAGTGGTTAAAGGCAGCACTGCAGGCTACTTCAGCTGACTGCAGTTCTGCAGTTCGGCTGTTCAAATCTCACCGGCTCAGGGTTGACTCAGCCTTCCATCCTTCCGAGGTGGGTAAAATGAGGACCCGGATTGTTGTTATATACCGTCCTATGAAGCGGTATATAAGTCTAACT